TGCTCTCCTCTGTGTGGTACTTTCACTTCTCGGGGCACTGCTTCTCTGTGCAGCTATGAATTGAACCACTCTATAATTCTTTCCTAGTGAACTGAAAGAGAAGGTAAATGACATTCTGGGCACATGGGAAAAATTATGTGAAGATCCTGGAGGATTGATAGACAAGAGGGGGCAGAGGCAACACCCAACCATGAAAAATCTCAAGTTAACTGCAGCAAAGACACTGATATAAACTCAGCAGCAGATGGTACCAGTGAATGGGATTGGGGTAGAGAAGGAATTATGCTTAAGTGGGAAAACTACAGATAATTTAGTGACATGGGAAGATTTTTAGAAATTGCTTGCAATTTGGTGCCACAATTGGGCTTCCAGAAACTGGTACCAAAAATCATTAGTCACTTTTGAAAATCTTACCTCTAAACCTTTTGTTACTGATTTAGTTTCAGTCTAACACAGGTTGTGTTTACTCCTCTTTTCATTTGCCTTTTAGCAGCAATTTGTGCAGGAAGCAAAATGCTTCTTTACAATCTACTGTTAGGTGTGATCTCATTTCTTAAACACTAACAGCAAAAGTCTGTGCCCTTTGTGCCCCAAAAGGCACTTACCCAGCTGCATAGAACAGTGATGCTATTATCCCTGCAGTAAGCATATACACGTATACTGCACACACTCAGGTGGCTATGTACTAGCTAGGCAGCTACATAGCTACACACAGGCATATGGTGGCTGAATTCTCAGAAGGGTGAAGGAGGAGGAGGGACCCTTATGTTAGCTCCAGTTAGGTGAGTGGTTAGGCCATGCATCCAGGAAACAGGTGACTTGAGTTCTATATGGGGTGTGCAGCCCCTGTCCAGCCAGTGCACAGTCTACTCTGTATGCTAAGTATACGCATGTACACTTACACATTCATGCAATAAGAGTAACAAAGTGCAATGGAATGGTAAACTGCATATAAGTGCCAAAAAGGACATTTATGCAGGTGAAAAATGGCCATTTAGACCATTTAGTACCAAGGGTAAGAGACTGCTATGCTAACTATATGATATGGGCCATCACACTCAGTATTTCACACTTGCCAAGTTACTAGGTGGGCAGAGAGACAGCTAAATCCCTATTCAAGTCCAAATAGCATGCCTCTTTCCATCTCTATGGTCCTTTCTATTTATTTGACAGCCTCTCTGCCTGTTGGAACTCAGTAGCACCACTAAAACAGGGTCCTCTGTTAATTGTTACTTCATACCTCCAAGAATAAAGGCCTCTCTGCAGCTCTCTTAGTAAGTGGATTGTACTGTATTGCGTACTCTGCATCAAGTCCTTGAAAACACTTATTACCAGGTCTAGTGCATATTATTCGAAGTACTGTTCCCATTGTCTTGAAGGAACTACTAACAATAGTAAGCACTAGTCTGGGTAAAAAGTGTTAGGAGAATTAGACTTTTATATCATTAAGACTACCATCTGATGTAGTCTTGGCACAAATGCCATTTATTTAATATAGGCCTTCCAATTACCCTACTCCAAGAAATGGAAATTTACAGTGGGAGTTTTTTAAACTATCAAGTAGTTGTTAATAATATTTATTATCATCCTTGAATGCAGTGAAATTTTTACAATAGGTACCTTTTGCTGTAAGTACAAAAGCTTCTATGTAAACTTCAAATGCATCTACTACTCCCTCATTAAATCCAGTGATCTTGCCATAGCCCAAAGTTTGAGTGGATCATTTGCATTTTCCTTTTGTACTTTAGGAATGAACAGTATAGGTGAGATGGCTGGAAGGTTTTTTGTTTCCTTGTTTCTCTAACAGTGCACATTCACTTTTTGGCTAGGGACAGACATTCAAAAAGCCTGAGTCTGAATTAATTCAGTCTTTGCAGGTTAGTCTAACCTGGCTAGGCTAAATCACTTCGTAACTGCACAGACATCCTAGACATGCAGGCACATGCCTGCAGTGGCACAGGCTAAACATCAGGGGACACTAGAGCAACCTTCCCTTCCTTCCACAGCACTGAGCTGAGAGGGGACATGGCCAGGCCCTGGCAGGATGCTCCAATTAGCCCAGCAGGGAATTGATAACAGTGTTTATCACTCCTAACTCAGTGTTTATCACCCCATTAAGAAAACAACACCTCTCCACAAGGCAGAGGGGAGGGGGTAATTCCTTCTTAGCAGGGAGTGGGGGGAAGCAGCCTGCAGTCCCTGCCGGAGCTGCAACCAGGGAGCCGAGGGGAGGAGCCAGCCCTGCTGTGGAGTAGAGCCCCAGCGCACCCAGAGAGTATGCTAGGATGCTGGGGGAGTCAGATTTAACTTAAACCAGCAAGGGGTCAGACATTGCATAAACCAGTTTGACCTAAATCAGTTTAGTTCGATATATTACATTCAACCAGGTTCATCTTAAACTGGTTTCAGCCATTTTCAAACTGGTTTATGTGCACTGAGCATCTGTTCTGTTACAGGTTTGAACCAGTTTCTGATCACTTAAACCGGTTTGTGTGTAATGACTGTCTCTAGCCTTTAAGTTTAAGATGTACAGGTCTCTGAGTAAGTTAGTCATAAGCAGGGATCCAGGTTTTCTGTTTCCTATAGGAAAACAGAGAAAACCACAGATTTAATTGGAGAAATGTGGATTTTTCCTTTTAGCATGTAACCCATGGTAACCCATGGATTTCCATCTTTTGCAAAGAGCTGTGCAGGCTGGCTGAGTTCCAGCCTGCAAGAGCTGTTTGCAAAAGGGGCGGAAAACCCCCAACCCTGCCTGGAGGGGAAGGGAGACGGAGAAAGGGCAGAACCCAATGCTCTCACTTACCAGAGGCTGCCTCTGGATCACTCTCCATTCCCAGAGGTAAGTGGGGCCACAGGGTTGCAGGGCAGGGATTGGGGGGAAGATGGCTAGGGGCTGAGGGAGCGAGGATGTGTTGGGGGAAGACATAGAGTGCCTGCCGGGCAATGGGCACTCCTGGTGGGGCTTTCACCAACACCTTCCCCTCCTTCAGCCTGGGCAGGTGGGGAGAGTGGAGGGAACAGTGCATGGGGGCAAGGGGTGCTGCCCCACCTTAGTTTACTATGTGCCCACTCCCAGGAGGAGGGCAGGGGGGCAAGGGCAGTGGTGTGCAGATGTGCCGCCCGGCCAGGGGCAGCGGTGGGGATGCACGCAGAGGCTGCCACCACCACTGCACTGCCACCACCACACCTCACATCGTTTGCCTGCTGCTGGCAGCAGGAAAGCACAGGACGCACAGTGCGATACTGCGGTGGCGGCCGCCATGTGCGAGCCCGCCCCTTTCCACCGGCCAGGCAGGCATGTGAGGCCCACAGTGGGGCACCACTGCCCTCACCCCTGCTCTGGGCAAGCGGTGCAGGAGGCGCAAGAGGGGGGTGCGAGGCCAACAGTGTCCCTCTGCAAGCCGCTTACCCCCGCCCAGCTGGGGTGGGCTATGTGTGGGGGGGGCTGGG